CTGATTCTAGCATTATTGAAAATCGCCCTGGAACAAACATTAAACTCTCCAATTAAATAAAGCACGCATAATTAATTTCAAATGCAATTTATATACGAGACCAAAAGGTTGAAAGAAGAGGAATAATCTCATTGGCTGCTGAGCGGTTTTAAGTAAAATGTTTTACGATTCTTCAAATTTTGCTTTTTGAAAAAATGAACAAAACGACAAATTATTATTAATATTGATTATAAATATTTTGAAAGTAATTCATGCATTAAAATTGTTTTGACCCTTTTATGAAACATAAATAGGTAAAAAAAAATTGTTCTTGCATTTTTTTTTTTTTCATATTTATGGCCAGATAAGGTTTTAAATAAAAGCTTGTAATTTACGTTTATATTAACCAATTTAATTGTACTAGGTTTATTTTACATATATATGTGTATAGTGAAATTAAGTAATAAAATTTTTAAGAAATTTGAAATTATTTAGTGACTATTTAGACAGTTTACATTCTTTAAACTGCGTTTTCTCAGTTTGCTTCGATAAATCCTTTTATTTAAAGTCTTAAAATATTTATACAGATATGGACTAAATTATTTAATTTTTACTGCTTGTTTAAAATTATATACTTAACAGAGACGAAAGGATGAATTTTGAGAAATACTGAAAAAAAAATTATTGGAAGTAAAAGTATCATTGAGATGATATTTTTTTTTTTTTTCATAGAAAGATGCTTTTCCTTTTTTTCCTCAGAAACTAATTTATTAATTCCAAAAGCAATCCTTAAAGTTAGTATTAAAAACATTCTAATAAATAAATTAAGAAACTTTTGGGCGAAAAACATTGAAACTTTTAGGAGAAGAAAGATATTTTAATTGTTAGCTATTTGTTCAAAAAATTTAAATTAAAAAAAATTAGCAGGGAAAAAAAAAAAAAAAAAAAAAAAAAAAAAACGTATTAAGTCATTTTGTCTTCCAAAACCATTTAATAATACCCATAAAAAGTAGATGAAAGTTATTAAATAAAAAAACGCTCAAAAGTTACAAAGCCCGTTAAATAAAACTTAAGAAAGGGCTCTGAATATTCAGATTACATTTCTAAGACGCTATATAAAATGGAACCATAACATCATTTTTGAGGAATATTACGTTTTTTGGTTTCGATTACTTTCGCTGTATATGTGCTTCAAAAGTTTCATAATTAAGAAATTAAAATCTTTATCATGAAGCTGTCTTTATTTTATCTTTCCTTTCTTGCAATTTTATCAATATGCTGTTCATACTAATCACATTTTATGCACTAATACTGAGTATTTTTACTCAATTTATATGCATTACTTTATTTGAATAAGTGATAAATGGAGATAGGGAAGGAATAACTTCCAGTGCCCAAATAAGAAATCAGTTCTCAGCCTTTTTTTTTTTTTTTTTTTTTTTTTGTAATTGTCTTCATTAGTTCACATTTTGCATATTTTGATACATATTACAAAACAATCAGCAGTCACATTTGCGCAAGTAGTTACGTTTGCTACTCCTTCTCCGCAAATAATTGCGAGAAATTATCCTTTTTAGAAAACTTATACACAAGTCAGCCTGATATTAAAAAAATAAGTGTTTTTTTAGGCAAACACAATATTTCTTAATTTGTTACTTTTAAACCACACTTACTTGTTCACATTGTAAAATGTGAAAAAATTTACATAGAAAAAATTTACTAACAGTAAGAATATTCAAATTATAAACAACGATGAACTTGTCTTCTTTCTTTTGAAACAAGTTATGATTCTTATTAATAACTTGACCTCTCAAAAGCGGATCATTGTTTATTCTTTCACCCCATTCTTAAGAACATTTATCTTCTTATATCGCTAAAATGGTATTTAACAATATTAATCCGCGGATAGAACACATTTCTTGTAAGATGTTGTCTGAGCAGGAAGTCGTTACCGCCTGAAACAAATACAGTTTTGAAGTATCGACTTCAATCGTGGTTACTGGTGCGAAAAAAATTGAGAATCGACCCATATTTCCTTTGCAATTATCTGACAAAACAAAAGGGAAAATTAATGGAAGGTTTCTATCCTGAGAAAGTATTTTAAAGTTTCACAATTCTAAATTTCTTCAGGACTAGGTTATGAACATTGTGGCATTGGACAAGAAGTCTGGTGCAGTTGTTTGAACATAAAATATTGTTTCGTTGCGGGTTAGCTAGTACAAAAAAAAAGGTTTAGAGAAAAATAGTTTTGAGCTTCTACAGCTTAAAACTATTACTGCGATTTACTCGTTAATAAATAAACTAATTTAAGAGAAAATTCAGACAAGGCTTAACATATGAAACAAATTTAAGACCCAGTTTAGCTCTTCTAGGAAGTCTATTTTTGAGTAAATTTCTTAACGAAATGGCATAAGAGTTTGAAATTACACTTGCGGCACGAGGGGGCATTCTAAACACAGAAGTCAGCGATGCGTTGCACAAGAGACACAGCATGCATCGCTGTCCAATCACCGAACTAGATTCGCAAAAAAAAAAAAAAAAAAAAAAAAAAAAAAAAAAAACTTAAAGAACACACATATTATTCTGAATTATTGCAGGAAGTATGGAAAAATTCGATACTTTCTTTAATTTCCATTAGAGATTATGTAGATTAAGGATAAAGACGATATGGAAGGCAATTGTTTCTAAAGCAATTCTTTCCTGTTCTGTGTATCATCGAGAATTCCTGAAGAACTGAAATGTTTGAGAAAGCTGAGTGGAGCCCTAACAAGCCAGATTTCAAAATAGGCATATAAATAAAAAATATATCTGTAAAACTAAATATTTTTCTGTGTGTAATTTATTGACCTGCAGTTACTGCAAAGCAGTGAACAGAAAATGGCATATAAAATCAAGTAGAAATTTTGTTAATCAGCTAGCCAGATTAGGGGGCATATTAGCAAGATGATTTATTTTTAATATTGATGCTTTCAGCAAAAGGTGTGCAATAGTTATTCCATTAATGCAGCAATGGTTGACTTTTATTATAAAAACTACAAGTTATGAAAGTATACGATATTTTGGTGTTTTATAATTCTAAAAGTTTTATTTGACAGGATTACGGATTATATTTAATATTTTTGTAAAAATATATCGTTTTATTGTAGTTTTAATTATGTGGAGATAGTAGATATTCTTTAAATTTTTTCACTACTATTCTCACGCATAAATGAAAATATCAGCCTAATTATTCTAAAATTACCTTAAGATAAAATAAATTACAGAAAGTTTTGTTCCCCTTTGAAGCAATGAAACATTTCTCAGTGATTTGAATACTTCTTAGATTCATCGCTAATGTAATTTTACTTACATTTTATGAGATTCATAATAATTATTTCTAAGAATACGAGTGGCAAAGAAATTCACATAATATTATACGTGTAACATAATATTCACGAAAAAACCTTATGTCTCTGTATTTCTACCTTTTGGTATTTCGTGTGCAAACTAGTATGAGAAGTTGGTATAGGAAGCTGAGATATCTTTTGAAAAGAGATAAAGCACATAATTTTGTATGTCACGCATTAATTCTCACAACAAATAAGCCGAGGATATTCTAGATAATGCTTATTGCTTTTAGCGCTTGTAGTAAATCTGTGTCAAATAATAGCAGTTGAATAGTAAACATTTCATAAAGCAATATGCTTAAACTGTCGAGTGGAACGTTTAGGATACCATAGCTCTTTTAAGACCTTTCAAAACATGGTTAAACTGCTGCCTCAATAATAAATACAATCTATTAGATTACATCATAAAATATTGACATGTTTAGATATCACGAAAGTGGTGCATTAAAATATTACTACTTAGCTACATGTTCATTAAAATATTACTACTTAGCTACAAGTTTTGTAGACAAAATTTATATACTATTTAAATAATTACACAGATATTAATTTAATAATCTTTAATGATAAAATCTCCTTTTTCTTTCTAAAATTAATAAGAATGTCCAACACTGTAAATACAAACAAAAAATTCCATTTCAGATGTACTTTTTGAAAGGCATAAGAAAATTTAAGCATTTTAAGTAAGCTGGAAATTTCTTTTCATAGTTCGTCTTTCTAATATGCTCAGACATTCGTAGAAGAGAAAGATGCAATAACTGATGCATACCAAACAGTAAGTGGCTGTTTGAGACATAATAAATTGCTGTCGTAAGACGGATTTAGTTAATAATATATAAACTGTGTATATAATGCTAGAGAAACAACTTGAGTATATCTTGCATTTTGTAACGTTCATATTTATTATTTAGAAAACGAAAAGAATATTAATTTTTTTCCGAGTTAAAAATCGCAAATTTCTGAAAAGCCGCGATGAAAGGAAATTATTGCTCGAGTTTTGCATCATTTCGGGCAGGGAGCTCTCAGTTAGATAGCGATTAAAACAAAGTAGAATACATCCGTAACTTCTTATAGAAATATGGAAAGTTGAACTTGCCGTTTTTATTAACGCAGATGTAGTGATGCCTATCCAATCTTACGCTTTTAAGTAGGTAAACATTTTAATAAAACGAAATAAGTAATAGATTTGAGATAAATGATGTTTATATTTTGAAATTATAAAAGAAAAAACGTGATCTAACACCCTTTCGGTGAAAACGTATTTCAGCTGATATAAACTGAAACACGTACCATTTACAGTTTCTCAGATTATGGTACCTGTGCCACTAATTACGTTATATTTGGTGACACAGATTTAAATGAATGTTTAAAATGAATGTAAAATGTCACCCCTGTTGGTACATATATTATTTATATTCAGGCATATTTTTTTTTACTGTATTGATACATTAGGTGGATTTTTACATTTTGTAGCACATGTTTATGTGATACAAAATATGAAAAGGTTGAGAAAATTTGATTTAGCAGACTTACCGTTCGATACACTTGTGTGCATGTTTTTTCATGATAATGAGTAAAAGGTTAATGGAAAGATATTGCGATATAAAGATAATTAAAAACTCTCTCGGATTGAAAAATTGGACAAACTCATTTTTATTTATATTCATATTTTAATACTTAGTAATAATTATTTACATCAAAGTAAATTTCAAAACTTATAAAGTCATCAAATTTTAGAGTCTATTTTCGTTTTTATTGCAAACTGTTCTTCTTTGAAGCTTTATAAACGTTGAAAATAAGAAAGGATTGGTTATACCAAAGGATAACTTGCTGTGGTAGCTATTCCGCATTGGTTGTTCTTGTTTCTGGACATCTTGATGTAGCCGTTGAGTCCCCATGAAGGTCCCCAACTATTACAAAAAATAAGCAATTATTTAATATTATTTTATACCTGTAATAGAATGATTTACTGTGAAAGGTAGTCCTATGTAATTTGTTGGGCTGCAAATGAGTAAATACATTCAACTTGTTAAATTAATTTAAAACACTTTTAAGTACATATTCTTTATCAATTTTTTTTATTAGCATAGAATTGAAAAAAGCATAGTCAACGCGTTTGTTAGACAAACACCTCCACTACTCCTTAACCACAAGGCAATACGACATAGCTCCATGATAGGAAAAAAAGAATTTTTATGAAGTATTACGACAGCTGTGAATGACTTCTAAAAGTGAATACAATGAAATGCATTAATATTATCGATGTTTAAGATCACTATATTTAAGAATATTAAGAACAGCTTTTCCTAATGTTGCTACTTAATAAAGAGTTATAAAAGAGTTTTGAAGTCTACATCTTCTTTTCTAGTAAACAATTATATCATAAATTACATAGTTATATTGCTTATAACATTGATGTTATGAATTTATTCTAAAGAAATTGAAGTAAGGCTGAGTATTAAAGGAATTCGTAGGTAGTGAAAGTAAAAAAGAAACTAATTATAATATATTTATAGAATAATTTAGTTGTAGCATACTCTAGATCAGTGTTTCCCAACGGGGGGAGCAATTCGATTGTTAAGGAGGGTGATTCAAAAATGGACTCGTTCAGAGGAGACAAGAAATAATTAAATTTCCAAATTTTCTTCAAGAAGTCGAAATTTAATTCTTTGTTCCCATAAATAAAGAATAATGTAAGCTATGTATACCTAATTTTTTTTTTAAATTGCGGTGCATTTAAAATAATTTATTAAGAATTTTCGCTGTATACATGAACATTTAAATACTTTTAAAGGGCATGTAAACAGCTGACACATTACGCTTTCCAGACGTATTTTGCACATGTCAGCCAACGAATTCAATTTATTTTTTATTGTAGGAACCACAACAGGTATATCCCTTCTTCCCTTGAATTGTAACAGCGGGTGCTTTCAGCTTTGTCTGTATTTAGCGGTGTGATGAGGTTTCATACCTACTGTACATAATGAACTGTCAACTTTTTGTCTTTTATGCCAATGCTTGACCAAAGAATCAATGAAACGAGGCCGTCTTGAGGTACATTTGAAGACGAAACATAGTGCTCATATTAATTCAGATTTGAATTATTTTCGAACTTTAAAGAAAAATTTTGAAAAATGAGTAACATTAAAGTACCTAGTTTCTGCTCGTAATGCAGCTGTTAATCATACTCTTGAGGCTAATTATCAGATTTCCTTACTCATTGCTAAATCTGGTAAAAATCATATTATACGAAAGAATTTAATCAAACTATCAATTTCAATATTTCTCAAAACGGAAATGATGTAAAGCTATGCCACTAAATAGCAATACTGTTACAAGAAAACTGAAAACAAGAAACTTTTCGGTGCAAATGGGATGAATCAACTTTGAGAGACAGTGAGGCCATACTTAGGTAAGATATATTAATAAATGTGATTTTGTCGGAGAAACGTTGTTCTCTAATTTATTAGAAAGTGCCTACCAGCGGCGGAGCAGTAAAGTCGCTGAACACTGGTAGTTCGGTCCGAGGTTCGAATCCCGCGAACGGGCTGGCTGCATGGGTGTTTTCGTGGTTTTCCCCGTGTGTAACGTGCATACGAGCAAGTTTCCCTTAAAAAGTCCTCCACGAAGGCATCCCTCCCCTTAGGCAGATAGCCCTCGAGGCTTTGCCGTAATTAAATAACCTAACCTAACATTAGAAAGCACCACTATCTCCATAAATATATTTATATAGTAAGCTAGACAGTTATTAGATGGCGCTACTAATAGGATGCGGAAGCAAAAGGGTTGCTTAAAATTAATGAAAGATGAGAATTAAAAAATGCTTCTTGTGCATTGTGTTATTCAAACGAAAAACCTGGTAGCTAAAAAATTTCCCCTGTTATAAATGAAGTATTAAATTCAGTTATAAAGTGTATCAATGCTATTAAAGCTGAACATCTCTTCAAGTTATTTTGTGAAGAACAAAATGAAGACTATATGAGATTTATATACTTCACAATGAAGTAAGAAGGTTTTCGAAAGGTAACTGCTTGAAAAGATTTATGGAACTATTTGATGCTTAGCTATTTTTTAAGCAACAAACCTGAAATAAAAAATCTGTTAACTGTTGATGGTAAGGCATTTGTGAGTTATTTAGCCGATATCTTTGAAAAATTAACTATGTTAAACAATTTCAAAAAGCAAATAAAGCTCTTGTCGATGCAAAAACGAAGATATTTGGTTTTATTATATTTATTGAATTGTGTCAGGGACATATTTAAAATAAAAATTCTGAAAAGTTTCATTGGCTCGAAAAATGTAAAGTGACTGATACCGTTATACATGCGATGGTCGACCATCTGAAAATTTTATCAGCTGATTTAATAGAAAGATTTTCTGATTTGAAACAAATTAATTTCCCCAATTTAGATAATGCAGCCAATGTTAGTGGATTTGGCTGATATTTCAAATATGCATGATCAAGAAGAACTCGCAAAAATGCAAAATGGTGAGTCACTTAAAACTTTATTTAAAATAAAAGGAGCGATAACATGACTTTTTGAGGAAACCGAAACCAAGTATCCAAATGCAACAAAATGTGCAAGAGAACTATTGTTACCATTTCCATCTTCTCATTTAGGTGAAGGCGGATTTAATGCTATAAATGATTTGCTGCTAAAAAATCAGTTGGATATAATAAAACGGGGAGACTTTGAGACTGAAGTAAACTAAATTGGAACTTGACATGAAATCTCTTTGTAGCTAGTATCAAGCGCAAGGATCTAACTAAATTTATATAATAAATAATTACTGATACTTAAAAGAAAATAGAAAAATCTTTCATTAAAATTATTTTGTACTTGAATTTCAGTTCTCCATTATATGTTTTTAAAGTACACTTAATGTGTTTGCTCACAAAATTTCCTAGTGATTTCTTTCTAAACCCCATAATTCAAGTTTCTTTCGTGAACATTTCAATTTTTGAATATTAAGAATTATGTATATGCTAGGCTAGAATAAGAATTTTAGAGAGGATTAGGTGAGGCATAGCGCAAGAAAGGTTGGAAAACACTGCTTTAGATAATTAAACGACCACTACGCTTTTAGCTTATTAGCAGTTGTATTTCCATTTGTTATTAATCCTACCATTATTTTTTTCATATTACTCTCTTACAACAGAAATGTGCAAATGACAGGAATAAATCTTATAGTTGTTAAGATCAAATGCAAATGCGAATAATTCGACAAGGTACAGTGTACTTACTACAGCATGCTTTCTAGTTAAATAAATATTACATAACTACAGTATCTGTCTGAGAATATCAGCCTCTGATTTACCCAGAGGAATTTTAAGTATCTACTTGTACACGCTAAAATAAATTTACTCTATTTTAAAAAAGTGATTATCAAAAACAAGATTTCCAGCCCACAGTTTAGTTAACGTCTGAGACGTTTTTTTAACAAGCTAAACTTATTTCTTTAAATGACAGCTAGAAAGCAGAAGTTCGTTATTACTTAGTTTGCCTTGCTTAGTTTTGTTTCGATTTTTCGTTTTCTTCCAATGAAGAATTAAGTACTTTTTCCAAGAAAAAATTATTTTTTCTTCTACTGGTACTACTAATTATGTTCTCCTTATTTGTATGTCAGCAGTATGAATGTTTTTACTTTACATAGACCTCTTCTCCAAAAAATCTCTCTAACATTCAGTGATTTTTAACAGCTACGTAGGAAATAATGAAGTACATACGTCTTCAATATTTATGGAATTAGGTCTTTGTTCTAACAAGGATCCAGCTACTCTGATATAGGTCGAGTTATTCTGATAAGGAAAGGAAAATCAGCTATTTGTCTTTGTTTAATGGTTACATAACTCACAGTTAATATTTTCAGACATAGTAACCAAATTATTGTATCAAATAAACCAGACAGGCAATTGCATATACGTATGTACAGATAATATGTTTTACCGTAGGGTTTTAAGTAGAGGATTTTACAAGTCAAACTGTTTTTCTTACGAAAACCCAAAACTATTCCACACGACCAAATTGTTTTATTAGAGCCTGAGATTAAAAAGCCAGTGTTTAGTAACTTTATACGCAAATTCAAACTCGTGTTTTTTTTTGCTCTTCTGGATCTTAATATTTTTCTTTTCCTTAATGCTGAGGAATACTTTTAAACGCTTTTATAAATTTCAGAATACTTTACAGATATTGTTATACGCTCATTAAAGACTTTTAAACTAACTAATTGATTAAATTCCCACTATACCTGTTCTTTACTAGCCAATAATCCTGACCGTCTTCTGTTCCATATCCAACAGCTAAGACACCGTGATCCAGTTCTGTGCTGCTACAATCTTCCTCATCATAAACTCCTTCACTATAGAAAAGTAGAAAATTTTGATTACTTCCGTATTTATTAAATTTTATTTAATAATAAAAATAAATATTAAGTAAACAAAAGTGTACACAGAAAATTCAATTGATTTATGAAAATGAAATTTTATCTACAACGCTTAGATCTAAGACAATAAATAATATATTAATATTGACTCAAATAATCATAAATTTGTGCCAGAAAATTCCCTTCAACAACATGTGAAAACATGTTCGTTTGAGCAACGTGTGAAGTTTAATATTTATTACTGTTTTACACTAGGCGCTCTAGAAAAAGATCTTCCTGATTTCGTCTATCTCATTCAGCAAGCCTTCTTTCCGAGCGAAATCGTTCTAAAATTAATTCATCATTTTGCAATCAATAGTACTTATATTAAATGCTACTTTAAAGCAAAGTATAAAATGTACTTACAAAACTGAATTCAAGTGCTATCCCAACCCCAGACAGTGGGCCGAAGATATTACGGCATACAAATCTGGGTATACAAATTTTCTCTTAGGTAAATTTTATTTCCTAATATTGCGTCGTAATGTCTAGCCTTAATTTTCCATTTTTATTTGGCTACTTTTGCATTTAACATATGCTCACCCTGGCGAGATAACGCACTTAAAACAACTCAAAGTAAATTTATGGATGCATTAAATATTGTTTATATTTATTACACTGAATTAAGTTTTTACTCATGTTGTGAAGTAATTTAAAATTAACTTCATAATAAAAAAAATATAAACTATTGATAAAATTCATTTTTAACCATTCTCAGGTTTACACAAACTAAACTTTACTACAAACATTGCAGAAATTATAGTACACCAATATTTAATTTACAAAATTACTGAAAACTGCAGAAACTCTAAATTTCATAAAAAATGCAGAAACTGTAGTACAGCAAAATTTAATTTACTCCAACTATTACAAAAACATAAAATGAGCCATAATTTACTATTATTTTATATCTGTAATAGAATGATTTGCTGTGAATGGTTTTCATATGAAATTTGCTGTCAAGACTATCATCTAATCTGTTAGACTACAACTAATACGTGACTAATAACCATTAGACTACAAGTAATACGTGGTAATTAATATACTGACTATGCATGAATATAAGCACAAATGAAGTGCGCTTGACGGGGAGGAGATGTGGTGCAATAAAAAAAATGATTAAAGCAGCAATCAGTTTTCCACAGATTAGGTACCGTAAAAAATGATCAAAGCAGTGATCTGTTTTACACCATCAGCTCACAGAAAACTACAAATGCTCATTTGAAAGAACATTATGTTTTAAAATTTTTACTACTAAACAGGTATAAATAATAAATAAAAAAATAAAAAATTGACTTACATTTTGTGATACAATGCTGAACATATTATGCTATTTTAAAATTTAGCCCGATTTTGTCCGATAATTCGACTTTAAATGTTTAAAAATACATATATTTAAAAAGACATTTTGGCTGTCAATAGATATCAGCAGGTAAATGTTTTACTGTGTCATATTTCTATATGAGTAGATGCATATCTTTGAGAAAAATTGAGAGTTCAAGGTTGAAAGAAGTTCCTTATAGGATATAATCTAAGAATAAGTCTTCATACAGAAACATTAATAAGAATACATCATTTTTTGTATTTCGTTTTCTTTCTAATAATATTTTAATTACTACTAAAAGCAAGAATTTAATGAAGAAGTTATAAAATATGAATTCCCTTAATGTTACCGCATTTTTTACCTGTATTGTTGGAAACTGAACTGACTAGCATCAATAGCGACTGACACTGGGCCAACAGTTGCTACAGCCTTCATCAAAGCCTTTTCATCACCAGATGGGATATCCACGTAACCAGTGACTGTTGCTCCAACATTGGCCTTCTTAAATCTGCATGGCCCTTCCTGCATAGAAACCACACCTGTTATTTGCACTTAAAAATATTCACTTTGAACGAATGTATAATAACCTGAAGACTTGCTAATTATAACTAATTTAAAAATGAAATTTTTCTGCATATTTGCTTATTGAATATCTACGCCTTTTTCTTTTCGTTATATGTCAGTTATTAGATACATTTATTACACGTACATTTTCAAAAACAGATGTGCAATATTTTAACGAAATTTAGAGATTTATTTTTAAAATAGTAATTGTTTTTAAAAGGGGAAAAGCTGTTGTCTTGCTTAGTGTTTTGTATTGTGTCAAAACATGTTCCATGATTCAACAGGTGCATTGGGAAATAATTTTAAATCATGCACAATGAAATTTGTTAAGATGATAGTTTGTTATAGTAAGATAAGAATTGTAAAAAATTTTTATTATGAATGTATCTTAGATAATAGAAATAGAAATAGAAATTTATCAGAATTTTTTAAATAGGTATTTCCATGCAAACAAAAACTTTGAAGAGTTTAGATTTGAGTTCTCTTCAAGGGTAATTAGAAACTTAATCAGTAATAAAAGTCAGACGTGACATACAACGCTCAACTGTGAAACTGCCCTACATAGAAAGAAATGGGCAAGAAACTTGCAAATTGTAGGGCGGATAATTCTATTCATTATATACAAATGACATATAGTGTTCCTGAGATTAAGGTGCATGAAACTATAGAAATGTATGCCTCTTCTCTTCTTTTCACCGTCCAGGACCTCCTACGAGGAACGCATTTCATGTACCATTCATTCTAAAGCTCTTAGGCAGTAAAGCCCCAGAATAGCCCTGCAATATAGTAGAATGAATGCTAATGTGTTTCGCATATAGAAGCCTTAGTCATTTCGGATTTACCGAATGTTCTTGAAAACTATTCAGTGAACGAACATTCTGGATACATGATTCCTTAGGTTTATAGCAACTGAATGCTTTTCAGACATAGGCCTTGTAAGAAATAGATGGAGTCCTTAATAGTCTTTGTTCCACCACATAATCGTTTTTGAATTTTTAGGCTTTTTAAGGCTTTGCTAGAGATTTGTTCAAGGTGTTGCAAAATTCTGCATCTAGAGCTAAGCCTATGTACTTAGGATGTGAAATTTAAAATTTATTTTATCTCAGAATCACATAAATCCAGATTAAGATGAACAGGTTTCCTATTTTTTCTATCAGTACAGAAATTATAACAATTTGTTTTATTAGGATTTACAGTAAGCTTAAGTTCTTTTGACCAAGTTTCAATGCCCTGTATACAATTATTGAAACCTTTTTTGAAAAAAAAAAGAAAGAAAGAAAGAAAAGAAAAGAAAAGAAAAAGAAAGAAATATTTGAGAGAGTATGCCAGATCGCATTGTCGTCGGCAAAACAAGCCACTTTAGCTTCCTCACTGATGTGAGGGTCAATGGTTTTCAGGTACATGAGGAAGTAAAGAGGACTTAACGCAGAGCCCTGAGGGACTGCTGCCCAAGCGCAATCAATTTTCGAGAAAGTGGAATTTGCTTTGAATTTTATTCCTCTTAAGAAGTCATTTATCCAGATGAGAGAAAGCTACCCTAAATACTCGCAGTGTGGATGATATAAATCAGTTTCTGCCTCCAGACTCTGTCAAACACAGCAGAGAGATCAAAGACCTTGGTGGTCTTCTTTGATGGCCTATTCATCAATTTAATATGAATGAGTCTTTCCATTAGCTTGCAAGGATACTTGTTAGCTAAACGAGTCAATAATTTGTGCAGTTAGTAGCAGCCTTTATTGGCTTAATGCTAGGAATAATAATTGAGTTCTTCCAGTTCTTGGATAACTTGCCAGTACGCCAAGAAATACTGAACATTTTAAGCAAGGATTTCTTCGCCTTTTCTCCAAAGTGCATTATTATTTGGCCGCAGATGTGATCAGATTCTAGGGATTTTTTAGGATCAAGGTGCTGAATAACGGAATGAAGTTCCTCAAGGGTGAGATCAGACGTGAAAATGCAAGCATCAGATATTTTCTAGTTTAGTTTAATAACTGATTTATATGCTGTGTTTTCTGTCATGTGCGATGCACTTTGGTTTTCTAAAATTTCCGTAGTATTTAGTAAGCATATTTGCTGCTGCTTTATTAGTTCTGGCATTAACACCATCGACAGATGGAACATTTAACGAGGCTTTTCTTGAATTGGATTGCTGGAATTATTTAGAACTTCTACCAGAATCCAATATAGAGAGGTCCCGTTTCTTGAGTCAAGTTTTCTACAGAGTTCCGTCCACTTTTCTTGTCTGCAGGCAGAGATCTCCTCTTCCATCATATAGCGATATCCTATAAGTTTACATCTTAACTGCTGACTGTTGTTTCTTTGGAGCTCCTAACCAACAGAATCTCTCTCATGGATCAGCTCCTCTATATTGTGGTCTTTCTACAACGGGATCCAGTTGTCTCTTCTCTTTCCGCTAGAAATGTGATGTTTAGTTGCATTTAAATGTGGCAGGTGGAAACAAAGAGTAGATATCCAAGCTTCCGTATTCAGACGATCCTAAACAGAGGCTTTTCAGTTCTTGTGAAAACCTTCCTAGATGGCTTTATGGAAGTTCCATGAAAGCTTATACTGTGAACAGCATTCCTGATCCATTGAGAAAGTTGTGAAGATTAGATAGTTGATTTTAGCACTTTCCAGTGTGCCTTATCTACAGATTCCTAGCTTATAACAGTGATGTCAAGAGCGGATGCTGTAGCATTAGTTCTGGAGACATAGGTATTTTCTCAAGTTGTGAGGATTTGTTTATTTATTTTGACCAGTAATTAGTTTTGAGTTAAAGCAACTTTCCTGTCGCTCTCCTTTTCACCCACGCTTTCCTGCCAGAATGTAAATTATATAGGGCGCGTTTATTCAGATCAAGGGCAAAAGAAATGCTATTTAAGCGAAGGTTTCGCAAGTTGATTTTAGAGCATGTTCTACCTGTTTGAGGCCAAATTGTTACCGTGACTTATTAGCGATTTGATTCTGTGGCGTTGAGTGCTTCCAGCCATCAAGTTTTTCTAACCGGCTTCTGCGAGCCAGAGCCTTCCTGCGCGTTTACTTTGTCCTGTGAGACGTTAGGCTAGTCTAAATTGCATTTTATTTTAAGTTCAACATTGCTTGTTTAAAGTTAAGCCAGAAGTGTTGACTTATGTAAACCCAAGTGGAGGTCGACCGTTAATACTTTGTGATCAAATAAAAGGGCTATTTACACCCTTCTTCTGACTTTGTTTGCCTACAATTAAACATTATCTACAAACATTATCTCAAATACATTAATCTACAGTCTTTCTAAAGCTCGTGAGTTTATGCTACCAAAACATATGATGCAATATAAAATGTTACGTATTGTCAAGTTCAGATCATCAGCTAGGTTTTCAACTTGAATCCACTATTCAGCATTTATTTCCTATGTCATACGAATATCCCATTTGTGGTTTTTATAAATAAGCTTTAATATTTACCACAGCGTTCTTTCTTATTGTGTTATGTACAGATATCCGTGCGTAATTTGTTTTTGTATAAATACAGGGAGAAAATTTAATAAAGCGTTTGTAGATATTGTCATATTTTTGCTCTATTGTAATATATAATTGGTTTCTTTATGTATTTACTGATTTTCTGATCAATTTTCAGTGGAATTATGAGCGAAATTCTACAAATGATTTTATAGTTTTCTTTATCTTTTTTTTTTTTTTTTCGTTTATGTAATATATATCTCTTAAACATTCTTAAACATACTCTTAAGCATTTGATATTATTAAAAATTCGAATATTTATACCAATGTTATAATTGAAAAATACAGCGTTTAAGACTTGTATTAAATTGAGACATGTTCTGAATTAAAGCCGTGAAAAATGTACAATTATAACAATCATTTGAAATAGCATCTCCCATTCCATTTAACTTTCTGTTACTTTGAATGCTCTCAGTAGGAAAAGAAGATACTAACTTTCTTAGAGATTTATTATTAATTTAAATGTGCATACTTTTATAAATTATTTTGCATTGCTGTACATCATCCCTTTCTTGAGAATAAATTCTAACACTTTTTAAAAAAATTAATGTAAATTAATTGAAGCAATATTTAAAGTATTCCATTACTAAATTTTACAGGTCAAGTACACATATCATTAACGTGGAATCTTCTCCTTCAAACCATTAAATCTGATATTAAAAAAGTATTTTAAAATTATTGATTAAGCTATATTACACGTAGATAGTATTAGCTTCCATAATTTAAGCATGTTTTCTTCCTTTCCACATGCCTTCCTGGTGTAATTGGAAGCATAATCGACGAGTATTCGATAGGTTCAGAGTTCGAGTCACGCGAGGGCACTGCACATTTTTCTCGTCTCCTGCTTCCAAATCTCCTGCTTCTTAATGACTCCACAAGGTAATTAAAAAGTTAGAAAACTTTGCCAGAGGTGTTATACTGTTGTTTTTAAATGTTTACAAAAGATTTTCTATATGCTTTCGAAAAGGGAAATTAGATTTGTTAGATCTAAAATAAAATTCAAATTCTTAATATGGTCCAAAATTATCCTTTACTTATGTTTTATAATAACATGCAGTTGTATGTTATATTCAAATCTCTAAATATTTGTGGAATAATAATGCATCGATATTTGAGATCAGACTACTGCCCTAAACTAATTTTCATTACTTATTCATATAGTTTTCCTCAAGTTAGTCGTTATTGATGTAACATAATTTTGTGATATTTTCCGTAATATTTCATAATATATCATACCTTATAATGTTTCTCTTAGTTTTCCTGGAAACCATTTCTGCAATTTGCAGAGCCGTTTAAGATTGCCGGAAAGAAAATGAAAATTTTCAGACTCATAGCAGCTTTAAAAATCTAGAAAATCATCGAAGGGTTTAGTTGAAATCAAATTTCGGGAACAAAAGTTGCATTTCACTTTGTTGAAAACGTTTTTAGCAGCAAAACTAGCTATATGAAATTAAAATTTTAAGCGCAACAAGAGCAATCCGTAGTAAAATTTTCTGAATAATTCATCTGAACTTCTTCAGTTAAGATCGGAGAGTTATGCTCCGTGAATGGAAAAAAAAATGAGGGAGACAACTCAGTTGGAGTATACTTTTTTTACAAGGTCCATATTTTTATAAAGGCTGAACTCTAGGCTGTTTGAAGCTTGCTGGACTACAGAAAAAAAAATGCAGCAGTTCAACACAGAATAAAATAAAGTTACAAATTCGCAGATGAAACGTAAGAAATAAATATACAAATAAAGAGGAGAAGGGCCATTTTATATTGAACAAACACATGAAGAAGGGGAAGAAACTTAATATTTAAAGAATTTAACGGGGAAATGAGTTCTTTTATTCCTACCGTAAGCTTTGAACTATAGAACAACAAATGTTCAACATTTTACTCTTCCCCGAAGCTACAGAAACACATGTCTGTATCAGACAGCCCAAATCTTTTCAGGTATGAGTTAAAATTAACGTGCACGGTTAGAAATTTAGTAATTTCGAAACTTCAGAACAAAATTTTATTATTGAGTTTGTGAGGAATAAAAGGAAAAGATAATTGAGTCAAGGAAGCAGCAGAATTTCTAAATAATTCCTTCCATTTGAAAACTTATTCCAACTTAGTTTCTTGACGAATGACTTAGGCAATGTCATTGTGGTGTTAACTTGAAGTTTTGTAGCTTGTTTTGTTAACCAATAAACTCTTTCATTTCCTAGATTGCCAGTGTGGTCCTGTACATGAAAGAAAATGATGTCAGCACCCTTTTTTTTTATTAAGCTCTTTTAGAACCAGTCTACATGTAGAATACATATAAAAGATGGAAGGTCTAACATGTATCAGACACGCTCACATGAAGCACGTTGTTTACATATAATACCACAGCATGTCTATTGGGATACAGGAGCCTTAGGATATTTCTAGTGTCATAGTAACACGAAATGTGTAAAGTGCTCTAGAGAAGCAACAGTGGAGTTCTATAAACATCACCATGATTTCGACACATTTGATCGTCCCCTCAGATCACACCAGGAGATTTTAGACAAACTGTATTATCAGTCATAGTTAGGTTAAATTAGGTTACATTGTTAAGGAAAAGCACTTAAGAGTTATCTGCCTAAAGGAGAGATGCCTTTTTGGAAGGACATTCGAAAGGAAACTACTTTGTATTTAACTAACTAGTTTCCTTCGACACACGGAAAAAATCACAAAAAACTCATTTAGCCAGTTTATTCACAAAGATTTGGAAACGGATCGAACTGTTAGTTAGCGGTCTTATTGGTAAGACTATAGACCCATGAGCCTTGCCATTACGACCCAAGGTGAAGATCAGAGGTTTCAATAGGCAAATATGTGCAGAAAGCAAGCGATATGTTAACTGCCATTGATTGGAAGCGTTATTGAACTTGTCTGACTCATAGCTAAAATCGTGCTAACTGAGATCAAAAATGGACAAATACAGCGTTCAGCGGTAAATTCTGTTTCTATCTGACTGCTTATTATTGATAGATAATTTGTATCTTTCAATAATAATTTGTATCTTGCAATGATTTAGCGAGAGAGAGAATGTTGATTTCGTTTGCGATCACCACATCTCTCTTCAATCTGGCTTTATGTTTGGGGTATTACTGCATATTACAGCAAATCAGCTCTTGTCCTCATGACGGGTATTGAACGCTGCTTGGGTATTACGAAGGTTCTTCAGCTCATTTTACTAGCATTGTGTATGGGCCACAGCATTCTGTTTTTGAAACAGGCTAATTGATTGGTTAGTTGATGAAAACGCACACAGAGCTATCTGTTCAGATTATGGTGCCTTCACGTAAAGCTTGATGAGAGATATTGGTTTGTATTTTCTTTACACATTGGGAAAACCGTGAAAATACTCATGCAACCTGCCCGTTCGGCCAGAAAGTGAAACCGAGTAGATCTATCCGGGTAGGTCTATCAGTATCCCGCAGTCGTAACTACTTCTCTCCTACGGAACACTTTTTCTTCAGTAAGATAATGTCCATGCACGTTAAAGATCTAGAAAATGCTTGCTAAACTCTCGAGCCTTGCTATAACCAGAGATAGAAGTTCGAACGATTTATGCCCATTTAAAATTCTGTAGAACTATATTAGGTGCAGTCTGGAGCCCGCGAAATATGTCGATGAATTACGGGAGCAATTCACCCGAATTTAATTTTCAGTTATATACATAAACTATTCGCGGCAGAGCATCTACTGTCTTTACATTATACTGCGTTATCTTATCTTTAAATTTGCTCGTCGCTGAAAATATAATCCAGATATATATTATGAATTTCTATTTATTTGCTGCATTTCATCCACAATACTTCTCTACTGGAACTCCTGAAAGTTTCACTGTCAAGCATTATCTATACCTAACTTACATTACCCACACAGAAATCTATCCTTGTTCCTTTTGTGCAATATTGACAGGCTGCAGCCAGGTGTGCAAAGAAATAATATCTAGCTATAAAAACATTTTGATAGTTTTGCTCGTGATAAGGGATTAAGTACCTTCTCTTAATCACTACAAAACAAATCAGTGGGCCAGTATCTTATTTCTACTCAAATGTCTTCAGTATGCTTAGTTGATCGATTAACCTCTTGAAGGCTGATTATTCGCATTTCTCGAAGTCTGTCAACTGCATATTTTACCTTCACAACTTTCGCATCTTTTTAAATTCACCTAGACATAACTGATTTTTCCAAAGAAGTTTTAATTAAAATGTAATTTGTAAAAGAGACTTATTTGATAAATGCACATGATACTGCTTACGATTCACTTGACAGGTTTTACATTATATAAACAGCACAAAATACAGGTATCCTACATAACTACGACCAGCGACGTATTTCATATCTTATCGTGACCCTTTCTATGTAAATTTTCTAACATTTTCAATCAAAGATTTCAAATACCGCAATTTAATTTCCTTTTTTTTTATACAACGGTGGTTTAAGATTTTAATGATTTCTTCGCTTTACGTCTACGTGTGAGAAGGTGATTACTGGCTTTTGAAACAGTTAGTTAAGATTCATGTTTGGTTACCAGTTAAAGTTTTTGAAATGCTTTCTTCATTTAAAAACGTTCGATATCAAATGGCGAAACCATTATGAGCGTGTTAATATGTACAAAGAAAAAACGTTTTCTGAAGTCAATAGCAAGGTTTCAGACCGTATTGATTTCAGTGATTCCTTGTATTGTTAGTTTTTACAAATTTTCTTTCCTTTTGGTATTTAATTTCTGTTTTAAATTTATAATTTAAAACTAAAAGTCTAGAATAATTTATGCTTCTGAGGTGAAATATATATATATTGTTTTAAATCCTGATCAGGTAGTATTACTATTGAGAAGGAAGTTTATTTCATTATTTTAGAAGTTTGGATTTTTAGTTTCAGATTTGACATTTTGAAGTTCAAAGGGTTTCTTTGATAACATCATTAATTTAATTTAACATTTTTGATTCTAGGATTTTTTAACATAAAATTAGTTTTTAAATTCTTTTGATCTGCGTAGATCAATTTTTGCTACCTTTTGAAGCAAAATTTAGTTCTTACCATTTCTTCATATGGATATGACTCTTCAGTGTCTATTCCTCCGTTTTCCTTGATGTACTCAAAAGCATTATCCATTAACCCACCGTTGCAACCTTGGTTTCCTAAAATAAGTTAAACATAAATTTTTAGTTTTTAAAATATGAAGAAAATATACATACTTTAAGAATGTTGGTACACTAGCATTTGATCAAAACAATGAAGGCATAGTTGAATGACAGTTTCAGCAAAATTTTCCTAATATGGTAACGTATTTAGAGAAGGTTTCCGAACCCTTTTCTTGAATCGGCTCCTTTTAAAAGAACTTTTTTATCGACCCCCCTTTATAATTTTTTCGATAATATAGAGGAGTAACGTAACTGTAATGCAGATCAGTAACTTAAATATAAAACTTAAACTAAGAATATGAACATAAATTTTGAAGAACAAAATAGTGTGTGAGATGTTTCATTGTTTTATATATTAATTTTAATATTACAAATATAGACCAGTTTCCAGAAACAAAATTGAAAATTGTAATTGCACAAAATTTCGATTCTAATTAATGGGATGGCTAATTGACGCAATTTTTTTTAACATTTGGCCCAAAATTGCTTAAATTATCTCTTTCAAAAATATTCAATCTGTTGCTTTTATCTCTTTGTAAAATATTAACTTGACCTGTTTTGGTAGGTAAAATGAAGGAAAAGACAGTAATGTTGGTTCGATAACAGCTCTTATTTCGGGGAAGATATTATTAATTTTTACTTAAATATAACTATGTTAAGCAAGTTTAGTGTATTTTTTATTCATATTTATTTCATGTGATTTTTTTCGGTACTTCAAGTTATAACCTTTATTAACTAAACCTCTAATTATCAGTTTCATGAATAATTTTTAATCAATGTACTCTTGATTATGTTCATCATTTGTCGGCGTATGTTCGGCTGTCAATCCTCAATTGAACCCTCAGTCATCATTGACAGTCTTTAAAATTTCATCATTCCCAGTGGATCAATAATTAGGAACTCCTGATTTAGAGAATGTGGAAGATTGCTGTGACAATCACAGTATGTATTTTAAAATTGCTCTTTGAACCGGAAATATAAATTTGAATGCAATTAAATCAAGATGAATTTATTTAGTTTGTGTATAAATGTATCATTAATTCGAAAATTCCCTCATCTCATAGCTTGCATAGTTATAAAGATGAGATATTTATCAAAAGATCATAAGATCATTGTTGCACATCATTTTCAACCTTACAAAATAATCATTTCTGTTTTAAAATTACTTTTAAAACCTGCATCAGAGCATACCTTGTTCTGTAGAACAGTCCATCAGATTTTGCTCACTAAGAGAAACAAGTTTTCCAGTTTTCTTTTTATGCTGCCCTTCTAAAGAGCCAGTAGTTGAAAATGCCCAGCAAGATCCACATTGACCCTAAAAAAGTGCATAAATAAATGTGCTTCAGTTTGCTGACCTTGGAGTACAAAATATCCATAAATCAGTTTTAAAAATTTTTATTAAGGTTATAGTTATTAATAAATAAATGCTCCATTAGGGGCATAATTTTAATAAAACAAAAATTTATATTTTTAAAGACCTAGCTCAGAAGCTACCTGGTCATGAACGTACCTGGTCTTTTACTTTTGTTACAAGACCCTCTTTTCTCCAGTCAACCTCGTCGGGTAAAGAAATATGTGATGGAGGAACGAATGTTGTTGTTGATACTTTTTTGCCTGGTTTGTAACCATTGAGAAGAGAATTCACTTCTTCCGTTGTCTGTCATAAGCAATAACAAAATAATAAAAAAAAAATGTGAGAACTGCTTTGATCCCACAATGAGATCATAATTATGTTTTCAATGTTAATATGCTAACTAATCATTTCTCCACAGTGAAAATTATTCTAAGAAATTAAAAAATACATAAAGCAAAGATGAAGTAATAATTACCATATCACTTAGATGATTGAGACCTAATTTGAATGAGTGCTGTTTCAAGTCTGCTTCGATGTTATGTTTTATGATTTTAGACAAGTTAATTTCCCATATCATGCGCCTGGAATACTCTTCGGAGGCTTTGTAGGATTTGCCGTGAAGTTTCTAGGAGAAAATAAGCACTTTGAAACAACTACACAAGAATTACTTAGTGAACGAGACTTTCTTTGTCATCGTTTTTAATGCAAAAAATGGCTCTACTGCTTGTATTACTTGCTAAGACTACTTAAAATAAATAATTATATTTAAACGCAAATTTTTCAGTAATTATTCTAAATACGCAATAGCAGCAAAAAGCAAATATTAATAATATAGTCATATCTATATCAATTAGACATTAAAAATTATCATGAAATTTGATCTACTATGCATATGACTCTGAGGCATGAAAACTCAGAGTCTCACAGTCAACAGTATCCCGTGTCATTTTTTTTATATATACCATACATTGAAGACAAAAAAATTCTTAAACGCATATGGAATTAGAGGCATCCCCTCCATGTGTTCTTGCAGTGTAGTGTTCAGCATAACCAGTTAGAAACTGGATCGTCTTGCATTCGACTAGCAGATGGAATTTTGTTTATTTGTCTTTTGTTGATGTTTTAAGTCTTTTATTCACAAAATCTTAGTAGTCTAGTTAATTTCATTACTTTTTCGATTCTTAGCAAACGGACATTTTGCTTGCTTTCTGTGATATTCTGTAAAGATTCTAGCACTGTTTAAGCAATGCCTGTTAGAAAGGCATTTCTTGAACACATGCTAAACACTTCTTGAATACTTGTTGTTGCACTTGTTGAATCTTCAATGCAAGGGCCAAACTATCATGTAATAATGTTCCTCAGTTCTATGTCTATGTTAAAATGTCGAGGAGCCTAGTGAAATAAGTAGCGAATTATTGCTGAGTTCAAGTCTGTATGATAGTCTCGAGAAGGGTTAAAATAACCTTTTATTTAGTCAAAAAAATAATAACAGATGGTCCCTTCTCGGGCTTACAGGAAAGCCTACACTCGCGCTTTTAAATTAGGATAAGAAAAGAAGAAACTAATCTAATACTAAACTAAATAGACTTAGCCGAAATACCGAACGTAGTTGGCCCTTGATTTAATCAGCCAGCGATTATTAACAGGCACGTACAATACGGCCGAGCGTAGTAAATTCAAGAACGAAGTAACCAAAAGGCAAATAGCTTTGATATTAACCCATGCTAATTCATAGCTTTGATATTAATCCATGCTAATTCATAGCTTTGATATTAATCCATGCTTTGATCTTCATAGCTTTGATATTAATCCACTAAAAGGACTCCTAAAGACTCTCTGTCGAAGTTAGTTGAACTTCTCTTAAATACTCCTTTTAACTCATTTGCATAAAATGCGATACTAAAAACACATTGAGGTAGGCAATAGTAGATGAGAAACGAGAATAGCTAGTAAAGCATGTTTAAACTTAAAATAATTGTCAGAAACTTAAAGCAACCTCTACAATGTCCTTAACTATAATTAAGTTACTTATTTCTTTCTGATATAGGAAAACGTTTATTCAGCATAGATCAGATTAATCACTGTCATAATCAAATGAAATGTTTATTGCCAAATAGAAGTATAAACTCTCTAAACTCATAACCAGTTGGCTTATTTGAGTACTAATGGCACAAAGGTGTCATAGGCTGCTTAGCTACCTTTAAATTCTCGGAAAAATTTTGTGATGTAATCGTGAAATTTAATTCAAATATTTCACATGGTTGTAATTTTTTTCCTGCATTAAATTTGCTACTGATCTAAATTGCTGAATTAAAGTGGAATGCTTGTTGTCTGCAATTACCAAGTATTGAGCTACTACTAAGTGTTGTGAGTCTAGTCACAATCATATTAATATTAAATGTGCATTCTAAAACTGTAAGTATAGAAAAATATTAACAATATAATGTCTAATGTGTTTTAGTTATAGGTAATCATTTGCTAATTGCACATTCTGAGAGTGATAAAAAAAAGCTGTGTTCCTTCAGATATTGTTAAACGTGTGCATATTTTAATTACGAATTTGCGAGATAGTAGATAGTATTTTTACAGCTGAATACATTTATTTTGCTTTGAATTTGCATTGGTAGCCTTGATTTTCAATAAATAAATCAAGCACTAATCTAAAGTTTATAAGTTTTTAAACAGCAAACCTAAAATTTAAAAGTAATATAAAAATAAAATTTGGTGAAAAAATATTTTTGTTCGATTTAAAACACAAAATAAGAAAATCAGTATCTATTTTTTTTTAAATCTTTTGCTTTTATTTTTTAAATCTCCAAATATTTTTAGATGTTTTCGGTTTGATAAAAAGAAGCATTACTTCACTGAAAAGATATTTTTCTTGATGACATAAGTTAAATCCAGTTAGCGAGTCTTAATGTTTAATTTTTAAGTATGGTTTATTCTCAGAGTCATTTTTACAGTTTAATAATATGTAGTTGCTATCTAATGTTTTCATGCATGAAACCGAAAGCATCTACAAACATTTTAAGAAAAAAATTATTTGAAAACACATAAACGCCGATTTTCATATTTTATCGAACAAAAATGTTTTTAGTTAATTTTAATTTTTACAAAATTTATGAATTCCAGGATTAATGCATGTGCACTCGTCAATCTAGCATAGATATTAATTACCGAGCTCATAGCTTATCAATAATCTTTTTTGTAACTCTGCGGATACTTCAAAATTTTGAAATTGATGCAAAAGAGGAAAATTAAAAATTAGTTTATATAACATTTTCTGTCAACCAAAAGGAAACTAAAGCGCTCCATTATCACAAAGTAAACATATATTTCCTGGAATGTTTCTTTTGCAAGAGTTATTTATTTTACATTTCATTATATTAATCAGATACGCAACTATATATAAGTCCAAGTAAGGAATTTCCTTCTTCCTTTGTTATGCGCCTTTGTGATGTAAATGGAAAACATGCCCGGCTAGCAATAGGGAAGTGCATTTTAGTTCGAATGTCTGCAACGTCATCGTTGACTCTCATCTTTCCTACTCGATAAAAACCAAATCGCTTTGCAACCAAACCTTGCTTTCGACGATTTTAGACTATCGATTTCAACTTTGAAAGCTATTCAAGAAATTGTGAAAAATTTTTTTATTCTTCATAGCTTTGATATTAATCCATGCTTTGATTTTAATCCATTGCTTACGCTACTCTTCATAAAAAGTTGTAACAGCTTTATGCGAGGCCAGTGAATACAACACTTTTTTAACCTGCTTTGTGCGTTTACAGAATCCAAAATGCAATGTAACGTACTGCCATAAAATTTAGTAACTTTTTTCAAATTGTTATCAACTAGTTTTACTAACAATATCTATACTTTTCAAAATAATTTACAAGCTCCCATATAATAATATTTAACTTTTGCACAATCGAAATATGACAGGAGTCTTAACTAGGTGAATGGAAATAAAGATTTTTTTTCATCAGAACCTGACGATGAAAACTCAAAATTGAGGAAAATCGCAGCATTTATAACTGCCTTCTCGTCTTCGAACGAAAAGTGTTACCAAAGCCGAGCACCAAACCGTTGGGCTTTGGGTCATTAGAATTATGTAACATCTTTTCGAATAAATAGACGTTTGTAATTATGTAACATCTTTGCGGCATGGCGCTTAAAATTTATGGATAGTTAAGTACTCTAGAAAAGTTGTTGGTATAGTAAATTGATGGCTGTCTTTAGAGTGAGATGTCTTCGAATTTCGCCCTCCTACTCTTGATTGTAAGCATATGTCCAGGATGGTTTTTCTCTTTTCTAAGTCTGACAATATTTTTATAATTGAAAGCAATACCTAGTTGTTTTTCGTATCCTAAGTACACTCAATATTTTACACTTTTGTGTCCTGAGCTGACTTATTTTGTTTAATCCCAATCTCAAACAGATTCTTTCTCTAAGGGAACGTTTTAGTCGTACGAACTTTACAGGACAACTATCTTCCTGTACCTAGACATATTAAGCTTACACATTATCAAAGAAAAATAATGTATAAGCTTACGAGGTATTTCGGGAATGTGACTATTCGCCGTGGCCATTTCGCCATGGCCGTTTCGCCGTTAAGACATATTTTACTTTACACGACTGTATTATATTATATCTTGCCGTATTATACTATTAAGTTGATTTAAATTAATAACTATGTTTAGTTTAATAATTTAATTTAATTTAATAAACACTTTATATAAAATAATATTTAAAATGTTTTGTGTACAGTACAAATACACCGTTACATATGACATATTAATTTTAAGAGAGTAAAGTGCTGACAAGTTTTCAAAGTAATTCCCTTTTCCATTCAGATTTCATAAAAATGTGAATTTTCTGCTTATATGAGTTATTTCTCTGAACTAGCCGATTAAAATTTCAAGAAATTTTTTGATGAATCGTGTAAATATTGTACCCGTATAAGTTTAAAATTGATAATTAATAAATCGAAATCGATAACTTCTGTTATGTCAGAAGTGTAGCCCCGGTTTGCTTTGATACTGACATATTTTTCCAACTATGTGTAATTTCTTTATATCTCACACTTGTAAAAGCCCACCAGCGGCCTAGCGGTAAAGACGCTGAACACTGGTAGTTCGGTCCGAGGTTCAAATGCTGCGAACAGGCTGGCTGAATATGCGTTTTCGTGTTTTCCCCATATGTAACGTGTATACGATCCAGTCTCCCTTAGAAAGTCCTCCACGAAGGCATCCCTCCCTTTAGGCAGATAGCCCTCGTGTGCTTTGCCATAATTTAATAATCCAATCCAATACTTGTAAATAACTATGTACTATATTAAAAGCAACCTTTATTAAGTATAAGAAAGATAAACAGAATTATTAAACTAAATAAATTTAATGCGAGTATAATACGGCAAGATAAAATACCGTCATGTAAAGAAAATATGTCTTGACGGCAAAAAGTCCTAGACCCAGGTATTTTCTCCCACCTTTCCGCATGCCTTCGCGGTGTAATTGGATGCATACTCCAAGCGTATTGAAGATGTCCATGGTTCGAGTCCCGGCGAGGGCAATGCCCATTTTTCACGTCTCCTGCCTCATAAGAAAAACCTAATGACTTTACAAGAGGCTCCCGAACTAAAAAATGATAAATGATAGTTTCCAAAAATTACAAATATATACTTACTTTATAATTTTCCCAGTGAACATCCAATTCAGGGGTAAAAGGAGCAGCAAATGCTAAAGCTACAAAAGCCAACACAACTGAGACGCGCAGCATCTGAAACAGAATTTGCTCATCAGAAATAACTGCTTTCTGAACTTTTGACTCTTTAGTATAGTAATAAACACTTTTTAGGAGCAAAGATAAAATAATTAAAGTTCTTAAATTAATATTTCTTATTACCTTAATGCAGGCTAAAATCTTAAATATATATGTGAAATTTCTTTGTTTTTTTCCATTACTTTGCAAAACGTTTTTTCTGAAGGTAAATTATATAAGATAATAAACAGGGCACTAAGTATTTACAGAAGACTAAATATTATTTATTTACTGCGAAACTAAACTTGTTTTCTTAATTCTTTATATCTGAGCTGTCTTTGTTAGTTTTTTCTTCATAACTAAAGGGCATAGTAATGGCTTTTTAATTCTTCCATACCATTTTGTAAATGCACTATACAAATACTTCACCTCTTCGGAAATATTCCTTTACTTTGAAAAGATATAGCTTTTCAAAGTAAAGGAATTTTTTATTATTTGCTCTTTTAGAAGTTTTCAGAGATAATAACGCATGAGAAGTCTAAACTATTCCCTCATAAAAAAGCATTTTAAACTACTTTTATGCGTGTAAGAAAAATATTTCATATCCCTATAGAAAACATATTTATTTGTTTCGCAATTTACATTTTACTTGTATAGGTAATGATATAATTTTGGCAAATGCATAATTGTAGTGCTTTTTCTTATTACTTTGAGCCCACTTTAAATAATAGGGCATTTGTTAGTAGTTTTATAGTACTTTAAAAAACAAATTATAATAGTTATAGTCCACGCTACTGACTTCCAAATTAACAATCTTTAAAAATTAATTTGCTCTATTATTTACAGTTCTACACCATTAATTTTAAAGCCTACGTAATTAATACAGTCTTCGTGTCAAAAACTAGTCATTTACTCATGTATCATCTATCATCATCATCAGCTTCATTATATCTGTCATCATTTATAATCACTTAATCAATAATATTTTCTGTGCTATAAATCTGTATGCCATACTTCAAAATTATAAGACTGCATATCCCAGTTTCAGAGTTTCCAGTTTCAGTTCCTCTCGAATATATAGTCACATATGAAAATCTGGGACTACTTTTCAGTGAATTTTAAATATTTCACATGAAAGCTAATAATAAATATGAAATCTTCATTCCCCCTGCATGCATAAGCTGAACTTTTAAGTGATTTAGTACATCTGCTTTCATAGTTTTCCAACGCCTTAAAAGACTTTAACCGATTTCAAGCAACAATGAATACGAAGAACTTACCTTGAGATAATTTGTCGCAGGCGTATTAGAGTGTCACAAATATTCTTTCATACTAAAGCTCTTCCTCGTTTTCATCGATTATTTAAGGTTTTCATTTTGAGATAACAGAATTTCCTGATAATGGTGCTTCATATTACGTCTCCCATGTGATTGAAACGCTTAGAAGTTACCCTAACATATTTGTTATTCATTGCACCTATCCTGATAAGATAAAAGATTTCTACCTTTATCGCTATTAAAAAAAACACAATTTTGGTCTATTGTATCGTTTGAACCTTATAGTCATATGCTTTGTTATCATATGCTAAACTACAACATTTTGATATAGACGTTAAACTGCTCTGATTTTTATTTTTTTTAACAGCACTGAAATTAAAATGCTGCTTGAGAGGGTTCTTAAAGTAGATCATGTTAGGGAATTTAATTACGCAAAACACACTGAGGACTATGTGTCTGATAAGAAGGATAACTTCGCAACTTAATAAAGGAATACTAATAAAGGAAACTGGCTGATTATTTGCATTACAAAATGGAAAAAAGTTAAATTCCATACAGCTTGGCTATTCGAACATCAAATGCTCAGTCCTAAGCAAACTGCCACTGTTTTACGGCGGGTTAGGGCCGTTAATGACCTAAAAGGGCACGGAATATGGGATTTATTGATATAGACTTAAAATAGCCCTACTAAAAATCAGGAGCAATTAAGTCCGGAGAACGAGGAGGTCATTCAGTGTCACCAAAGCAAGAAATCACATGACTGGAAAATGTCTCTTGCCTTGTTTTAAGACCTATGTGGCTTATTGAACCGTCTTGCTGAAAGAATATGCCCCTAAAATTGGAGTTCCGAAGCTTTAATTAAAAAATAAAAATTATCTAATTTCTCTGTAACGATCCCTATTAAGAGTTATGGTAAAATCATTTTCATTTTCAAAAAAATATGGGCTTGTTATCCATGATAGGGATATTGTGCACCATACAGCTTTTGCACTATGTATAGAACGTTCATGAAACTCACATAAATTTTGTTCGGTTCATATTCTCACATTCTGTTTATTCACGGAACTGGATAATGGAAGTGTGCTTCATCAGTCATTATGAGCCTCTCTCTAAAATTCTGATTGGTAAATTCAATTCAATCATGATGCTGAATAACGCCAAACGACGTTGAAAATCAGCTAGTTTCAACTTATAGGATACCTGAAGTTTATATCAACTTTAGTAATATCAACATAATCCAAGGAACTTCTGTCGACGTAATATAACTCCTTACATTTCCACGTACTTGTAAAATTGTAATGGAACTTGAGAGAAAGTGAAAGTGAAAGTGACAGAATTGTGTACACTAGAAGTCACTGCGAGGAAAGTTTCTAAGTATGCAAAGTGTAATGAAAATAGTGAACAAAGTTAGAGTACACGCAATTCAGAGACGTTTGTTAAGAGCACGAGCTGATGAACTAGATTGCTAGTATGGTGATCTAGTGCTTCATACGAAAGTTCGTTGTTTGAGTAGAGGCAGAGTCTTACAACGTTTTTCAAGAGTTGCTCCCTGCCTTAGTGGAATTTTTGAAAGAACGAGGCGAATCCTTCCGTGAACTAGAAGATCCAGTTTGGCTGCAGGATTTTGCTTTTCTGGCAGACATCACCGAGAAGTTAAATACCCTTAGCTTGCAGATTCAAGGTAAGGATAAAGATATCGGCAGAACAATGTCAGATGTTATTTCATTCTCAAGAAAGCTGGAACTGTGAGTAAAAAGTACCATCCAAGGTGAGTACAAAACCTTTGCCTGTTTGAAACAAACTCTTGACAAGCAAGGGTCTTCAACGCCTCCTTACAACAGCAAACAATACGCTGAAATTATTTCAGATTTGAGAATTGGATTCAACAAACGCTTCCAAGATTTCAAAAGCATTTCAGTTGTTGTACATTTTATCAAATTGCCTTCTATACAGACTGATGATGAAGCGTTCTCTACTTGTGTTGTGCAGCATTTTGATTTTCAAGAAGACAAGGCTGCAGTGGAGTTGGAACTGGTTGATTTTTATAATGATTTTTTTGTAAAATCGCATTCTACATGTTTCGAAAATATTTGGCCTCTTGTTCCTTAAGAAAAATACATAACTTTGGTCCAAGGTTGCCTCAAAATGAAGATAATGTTCATCTCTAATATCTGTGTGAGATTTCGTTTTCCAGCGTGAAATTTTTTAAAGCAACAAAAATACTCTCTGATTAACACTTGGATAACTGTATTCGAAAGGTAGCTACTACGTACTCCGCAAACATTAAAAAAAGTGTTGATGACAAAAAAAGTTTAAATTTTTCTCATTAAAAAATAAATAAAAAAATCTGTTCTTACATTTTTATTTATTACCAACTACACTTCGATTTCTTTCTTATGTATAATTCAATTTCATTTTCTTTTTGTTATATGCAATTTAATTAAAATTGATATTATATTTACTAGAAATGTAAGTTTATAGGCAATAAACAAAGGTAAGATTTTTTTTAAAAAAAATTTGGTAGTTTTTTTGGTTGGTAGCTCACGGTAGGATTTAAAAATGGTACGGTATCTCAGAGATTTCATAAGTTTTCCGACCACTGATCTACACTGTTCTACAACCTATGCCTATCGTTCGTTTTATACTGCTATAAATTTTTATCCCATTCCCACAGATTAAGGAACCTCAGGTTCGTGCATTTCATACCACCAGAGAAGAAGCTATTAGAATACATAACTCATCCAATATAATAAATGACTCCGAAGGCGATACAAAAAAAGAAGTCAAAACAAATTAGGATTCTTTAAGTTTACATATTTCTTCAGATTCTTTGTTATAAATGCTGAATTATAACAGGTGTTCCCTCAATCTTTCCAATAAATATGTATATGTATATTTTGACCTTAAAGAGCAAAGGAAGCTCTTATGATGTTTCTCTAACAAGTTCTATGCAAAAGTAAAATTAATCTTAAGCTTGTTTGGAAGCCTCTGAATTGAGGAGAAATCATCGTGAGAATGCGGAATTTGTGCTTATTTTGTTTGTGAATATCTGTTCTACAAAAAGACACAAAAGCTTTGGATGCATCATTTAGAAAATATCGGATGCAACGTGATGCAATGCTAGTCGTGAATATAGTGTTCTGTTTTGGTGTTTTATGTGTTTCCTGTGATTAAAAAGTTATATGGTGGTGTTCTCCAATCCTCTGTGGTTCCAGAGGTGCAATATTTAGATACCCTGATTAGCGGTGTACTTCAGTTATAACGTCCTAAGTGCTATATCGTATATTATTCATATTAATCGATTATTGCGTTCATAAGGAAAGGTTGGTACTCAGAATTAATTTATATAAAACCAAAAATAACATACAACGGTAAGTCACTTTCTCGTTTTGCTAAAAATGCAATCAATGCAGAAGCAACAACAGTTCAAGCTGTTATGTATATTCATTATTTTCAAAATACAAAGAAATTATTGGACTGATACCAGTACCTAATATGAGTGCTGAAGCTGAGTTAGATATATGTAATAACAAGAAGCAATACATTAAAATTAATAATAATGTACATTCTATAGTATGTTGTCTTTTGTATAGTATGCAGAAAAGGTTAATGATTTTAAACAGTGTATTAAATGTATGATCTAAAAAATAGTGTTAAGGAAACATTAGCATTTCTATGAAATATTGTAATCTATAATTATGTGATATTTAATTGTGTAATATTAAAAAAACGCTAAATATTTTTTATTGATTCCAAATTGCAATTTTATTACATTTTGTTTGGTATCTATTCTTCCAAACACTGTGTGATTCGCTTTTTTTCTTGAATATTGCCGTTATGTATGTTTATTAGATTACCTCAATAAATGAATATTGGAAATTAGGTTTTATTTTTTATTAAATTTTAATACATTCTAGTTCGCTTACTTTTTATGTCCTTGTGATGACAAAGAAATTCATAATAAATAGAAACAAAACGTTTCATCGTGTGCTATTTAACGAAAAGCTTACTTTAACGTACTTAGCTTACTAACGTATACTATATTATTCAAATTGTTTCTGTACAGTAACAAAAGGAAAAGTTATTGATTATATAAAGTGCATGAAAAAATCATTGCAATCTACCACTATTCTAAAATGTAGAAACTAAAAATAACTAAATACATTTACATATGATGGAAAGAAATGGTGTTAAGAAACATCAGCATTACTAGTAAATACTGCAATCCATAATTATTGCACTTAATGATTTTGCAGTTATTGCTTACTATTTAAAAAACACGAATAATTTTTTATTAATTGGAAATTTTAGTTCTGTTTGTTACCTTCCTTCTGCTATTTATACTTTCAAACACTGCCAGTTAATGTTTTTTTCTTAAATAGGGCTGTCATGTATGTTGTTTGTTATTATTTCATTTTGGATATGAATATGTGAAGTTTTTTTTGGTTATTAGATTTAGGTATATTTTTGTATTAAATATTTTTGATCACATTTATTAACTACTTTATACAGTCTTACAATTGCATATCTTAGAGATATAGAAGTTAATGGTTATATTTTTTACTATGAAACGCGAATAAATTTATACTTGAGTTAAGGTAAGATACTGATTATGTTACCTAAGAACCACTTCTTAATTTATCATGACAGGGGCAATTTCCAATGTCTATGAGATTTAACAGAAATAAATGTGATAATGCTGTTATAATCATAAACACTCCCTTTTTTACCCACATATATATCTTTACTTTTATTTATGTCTGATTGAGTTTTATTTACTTAAAACCTAATATTAATGTTATATATTTATAATAACCACTTTCATTATTACTCTCGCTTACTCGCTTACATACTAAAGGAAAAAATGATGAAATTTAAATAATCGTAACTTAGAATTTAAGTTATTTAAAAAATATAGTTTAAAGCGCTGAAAATAATTAAGGCTATTATTAATTATGCATATTGAGTTTAAAGAGAAAAAACTGTATTATCTTCTGGTTTTCAGGAAGTGATAAAATATTTAAACTTGAAAAAAAGGCAGGGAATACAAAAATTTAAAAAAAAAGA